TTCCAGAACTGACAATCTCAATCTCAGGCCTACATGTAGTTTGCAAATGTTACCCATGCATGTTCTTGACAAACCAAAGTAATTTGAATGATGACATACAGTAGATGCAACACAAAACATTGACCAAAGTCTTTGACTTGTGAGAATATTTTTAAATGGTCTCATTCTAGATCAATAAACTTCCTTCAAACTCAATTCTACATGTATCACGGGAAGGCCAACATGTACATTTTATGTAATTTATTGACTACTAGAATAATAGGATTATATTACGTTCATAAAGACTTATTGTTCTCCCCGTGACATACATTGTACAGTGTTCTTCTATTTGGGCAAATTCCAAATAAATGTATGTATCTTTCATATATAAAGAAAGACCTGTGAATAACAGGTTAACAAAAACTTTTGTTTGTAGATCAGCCATAACACTTCCAAAGAAAATATGAAGATATCAACACTTACCATTTCAATTCTTGTTTCAAAAGTTTCAGCACTTTGGTAAATTATCTATAGTCATGAGTTTTACCAACAATATGCCCTACCCTTATTTGTGTACATACCGGTATGTTATATGTCAAAATGAACACACTACATGTAAATAAAACAGGAAACTATGAAGACATGTAAACATGGACTTTGGATGGTGTCAATGTAAACAAACACCCTTTTTTGTGTGAACAATTAAATCATTTCAATTAACCAAATTTGCCTGTAAATGCAGGGAATAATTTTCCTCAAATTTTTTGATTAGCAATTTCAGCCGATGGATAAATATTTCAAATGAAATTCTGTACATTTCTATGGAAGAAAACTGCTACACAAAAGATATTTTGTATAGCAGTCATGCTAAAATGCATAGCAAATTGCGATGCGATACCAGGAAAATTATTCCCTGTAATGTATCTGCCTCCAGTGTATCTGGTACCCAGCAACACTACTTTTGTTTCGTTTTTGTATTTTTAATTTAATTTTCATTTGTCATATTTCTTTGCTATTATCTTATGAGTATTGAGTGGCAATACATTTTATTTTTTAAATCTCTACAGCAAGGAGTACATGTAGTGAAAACAAATAGGAAGGCAGACAATAATTTAGATAGCTTGGCTATGATCTAAACTGCATTGTTTTTCATTGTTAGAAAAAATAAATAATAAAAAACAGAAAAGGCTATAGGGCCAACATGTACATGTACATGCACTGTACATGTAGTAATTAACAACTTATTTATTACATTTAAGTAAATATCCTAATTGGACAGGATTTGAGGGTCACACTAACAGTATACACTATACAGTACATGTATGTATTTCCTCATTACTTTGAAAGCAAATAATGTTCTTGACATCCCAAATAGTACAATCGTCACTCAGCCGATCATGAACTTAAATGTTGTGTCTCCTCCTCCTCCTCCTTCTTCTCCTTCTTCTGCTACATACATGTACACTGTACAGCTGTATGATATTTTGTCTCCAAATAATGTTTCATTAAAATTAATTTTAAGTCAATACTTCTAACATTAAGTAGGTATCAGCAGATTTAAATATCTTCCTTGATTTGAAACCCAGGTACTGGTAATGAGCCTTTAAAATTGCACAAGAAACTAGCATAAAAGCAAACATTTGCAGGCTCCTTCTATCTACCCCAAAAATAATACTTCTCAAATTTTTGGAAGATTTTGAATTCCTTTAAACTATAGCTATCAACAGCTATCAATAAAATGTAATGTACACACATTGCAAAATTTAAAATAAATTATTGTACATAACATTTACATTTTCCATTCATTTTTTCATTATTACAGTACATCTTGTACAAACATGAATTTATACAAGTGGGTCTACACGAGCTGGATGCATGTCTATGCTACATACGGTAGTACCTTGTCCATTATGCCTACTAAATGATGCATAGGAGGTAATCACATTGTTTGTACTGAGTACATCCCCGGTATAATCCCTACTTGGTCAAAGTTCACGTCTTTGTGAAATGCAAACAAATATCTTCACATGCAGGTAAAGGTACACATTCGCATTCCACATGAGTCCGTGACTGAGATGTCATATTGTTGAATCTGAAGTAAACGTACATTCGATTCTGTTTTTAAAAAATTGAATGCATTATATATAGCTTTATCCCAGCCAAGAAAAGAACTCATTAACTATTAAGAAATACAAAATTAATGTAAAAATCAATTTTAACATCAGCTCAAACAAAGATTTCCTTCTACACGTGTACATTATGTATCATATATGGTTGGAGTCTTTCTGTTACGTTTTAGAAAATCACAATGAAACATACTAGATGAACCCACTGACTATAGTCTCTTTGAAAGAGGCTTAATACAGGGCGCACCCGGTTCCAGTGTGCCGATGGGTTAACAAGATATGTATAATTATACAGATTAACACTAGCTGGACTAGGATCATGGGGATCATGTATGACCGTTCCCACAAATGCAAATAACCCCCTTTTGCGGTCAATTTCAAGGACATTTTGTGAAATTTAACCCCCTTTTTTACGTCAAAACAAGGACAAAATTGTACTTTGAATACCCCTATTTATAAGATTGTAAGGACACTTTCGCAAATTTACCCCTTTTTTACCATATTTCAAGGACAAGACTCGGCTCCGAGAATTTTTCTTCCGGGTTTTCTCTTTTCCTGACCCCTATTTATCAATTTCGAGGACACCTGTGCACCCCTATTTTCTTTATTTCGAGGAATATATTGTCTGTGGACATTGCTTGAAATTGACCCCTTTTTCCGTGATTTTGGTAACGGTCATGTGGTCCGGAAGTCACATTGAGTGAACCCAGCGGGACTAGGATGGGAGGAAAGTACATGTATATTGTAAAAGGAAGGAGAAAATGGCAGCTCAAAGTTGGGACAGATTGAATGAAAGTAATAGCCAATCTAGGAGAACATTGCCCAATTTGCCCATCTATACATGTATCGTTGTAGTTTAGTGTTGCCTTAAAGGTACTATGTCCCATTTGCAGGCCAAAAAAATGAAAAGGTTTAATTCCAACGGCATTTGAAAGATAATACTAATTTAAAACTTCCCTAAAAAAAAGGTTGCTTGAAAATGTCTGTAAGTGGGAAAATAATGAATATTAGTTGTCAAATCAACTTAAGGGCTAGTATAGAGCCAGTAAGTAATAGTCTGATTTTCAGACCATTGTACCGAATGGTCCTACGTTTTTATGCTGTGCAAAGATTCAATCAGTTTAATTTTGGCCATTACAAGGAATGGGCTATTAATGTAGACAAAATGCCCAAGTACCCTTCACAGCTCATTTCATGTATGTTATTACCAAAGATGAAAAAAGCCAGTCAGTCAGTCAATAGTGTCTGACAGTGAAGTCTAGAAAGTATACAGGTTTCCTTACATAATGCCGAAAAACCCACAAGGGAAAGGACCTTCATTTAACATCAAGGTGCAGTTGAAAGCACCAATTTGTGCTTGTGAACTTGTCACAAATAATAGTAACAATCTCGTGTTTAGAAGAATGTGTAAGACCATTAATGTAAATTAAAAACAATAGAGTACCTAGCATAGAACCTTGTGGTACACCATGTGTAATAGAAAAAAATTTGAGGAATTATTATTATAAACTACATTGCAGTCCATTTACATGTAGGAAATAGTCTGATTTTCATACCCTTGTAGCAAAGGGTTGTACGTGTTTTGCGGCGAAAAGATTCAATCAGTGTAATTTTGGCCATTACAAGAAGTGGGTTATTGATGTAGACAAATGCTCATGGACGCTTTTCAGCTCATGTTCTGTAACTTATTACCGAAGAAAAAAGAAGTCAGTCAGTCAGTCAATAGTGTCTGACAGTGAAGTCTAGAAAGTATACAGGTTTCCTTACATAATTTGAATACCGGTATTAGAACACAGGGTCCTCAACGACTGGAACTCCCTCCCTAAGTTGGTAGTATCTGCAATCGGCTTCGGTAAACAGCTTTAAAGCCAGATTTGACAATCACTGGAAGAAGGAGCAATATAATTCAGCATTCTCCCAGTAGACACTCCAATTATGACATTCCTGATATGACCTAGCCTATCCGATATGCGTCGGGCTGTACAAGTATACTAATCGGGTTTATACTGTATGGAGAGTGACATCGGCGCTGGCGTCAGCCCGAGCGCCTATTTTTTCTGATTAAATAAATATAAACACCATTATTCCTCAAGCTGAAACTGCAAGCAAATAATCAGGTAAGAGATTTTGTTTCAATCACAATTTTTTTGGGTTAATGCTTACAAGTACACTTTAAAGTCAAGCTCACAATCACATGCAAATAATTTTTTGATGAAGAATATTTTCTTTGCACATTTTACGGACCTGCTTTGTTACACTTTAATAATATTTTTTGCATAAATTATTATTAAAGTTGCAATGTATATCTAGATTCTACAATTATGACATTAAATTAGGTCTAGACCTAGGAGGCGAGTTGGCTCAGTCGGTAAAGCGTCTGCCTGTCGAACCAAAGATCCCGGGTTCGACTCCCACCCAGGCGGATGACTGAAGTCTGCGTTGTGTGTTAATGTGCCCCTTCCCTTGTTCATAGACGCAGGTTATGTCAAGTGGAAAACACTCCGTCCCTCGGATGGGACGTTAAATGGAGGCCCCGTGTACAGGAGAGTCACCACCCTTGCACGTTAAGAACCCATTGCACTATTCGTATAAGAGTAGGGGAAACCCCGGTGTAATGGTCCACCTGCACACCCCGATCAGGCCGAGTAGTAGACCTATACAGCATCTGCAAGAATCTTCAGTATTGAACTTGAAGGAGGGAGATTATCTTGAAGAAGAAGTCTAATTGTGGATTATACATGAAATAAATGATTTTAAAAATCTACACTGAATCACCAACTGACCAACAATTACGAAAAACTAAATTGAGAACAACAGCATGACTCCACGATCCACCACACTAATTCAACCACACTTCACGGTGCATATTTTGTATATATATGGACGTAGACCTACCTGTATGCTGAGATATCATAGGCCGCTGGGCCTGGGCCTGGGCCTCCGCCACCCGATGGGCGGTAGAGGTGGGCGTGCTCGGGGAGGTTGAATGCTCAAACTTCACCCAACTCCCGCTAATAACACCTGCACCCGCCTCAACAACCAGGCCAACGCCATAATCTTCTCTTGTTTTACTCGATGAATGTAGGGCTGGTGCTTTCCCACGTACATCTCCATCTCCATCATCGTCGAATGACACCCACCCAGACATTTTTAGCTCAGCATTTCGTCTGCTTTTTCGCCAGGTTAATGGTGGTGTTTATATCAGCGTGTCGTCCAAGTGCGTGCAGCGCGCGCTAGCGGCAGTGAACATTTACAAGCCGAGTCGAGTAGTAGTCTTCAAAGGAAGTTTCGCAAAAGATAGATTACACTGGATCTATGCATGGAGCCTATGGTAGTCGTACGTGCGTTGGAGAGAGGAAGGTAAATTATGATAGATTGTTGTTGTTTTAGTTTTAACGGCGTGTACAAGAATGTATTTGCACCAAAGTGTATATACACCATAGAGATATATACTTAATAAGTAGTATATATCTCTATGATATACACAGAGGCGGAAATGCGTCGCAGAGGTTATTTCGACGACTTGAATAGAGGCAACATCCGACAGCGTAAATATTCATAATTGAATGACACACGCCCTTAAAACTAAAACAACAACAACAACAACACACACACTGAATCGCGGGGGGGGGGCAGGGGGCACAGTGCCCCCACACTTTCTCTAGTACCCAAAACGTGCCCCTTTTAACATGGGAACAGTGCCCCTTTTACTTCTACAAGTGCCCTTTTTAATCTCTAGTAAGTGCCCCTTTTCAGGTACGAGAAGCGCCCCCTTCAACCTGATAATTGCCCTATTCAAATCTGAGGGTTACCCCTTTTCCTTTGACAAGTGCCCCTTTTCCTTTGTAAGAAGTGCCCCTTCCCCTTTTACTAACTATCCATTTTTAACTCGGATAAGCGCACCTTATTCGCATGTGCCCCTTACCCTTCTCCTAAATGCCCCTTTTTACCTATGAAAATAGTTACTTTTCATTCTCATAAGTGCCCCTTTTCATCTCTTCTAAATGACCTTATTCAATTCTGAGAGTTACTCCATTTACTTTGACAAGTGCCCTTCTCCTCCTGAGAAGTGCTCTTTTCCTTTCTTTAAGTGCCCCTTCCCCTTCTCATAATTACCCATTTTTATCTCTGATAAGTGCCCCATTTATTTTAACATGTTATAACATTTATTTTTCATAAATGCACCCTTTCACCTCCGATGAATGCCCCTATCAAAATCTGATCGGTTCCCCTTTTCTTTCAACAAAGCACATTTCCATTTATTATAAGTGCCCGTTTTTATTTCTCATAAGTGTTGTTTTCGTATATGGTCAGTGCCCCTTTTCAGATGCGATAATTACCCCCTTTTCACTTCTGATAATTACACTTTTATCAATGATACGTGCCCCTTTTCCTTTCTTATAAGGAGGCTATCCCTTTAAAAAAAACGCCCCCTTTCACTTCTTATGAAGCACCCCTAAAGGTAATACAAAGTTTTGGTACGGGGTCATGAATTTGGTTCAAGGAGGGGGGCCCAAATTTGAAATCAATATGAAATTTAGTGTACTGAAATTTGAAAATCGTGCCGGCCAATATTTCGCTCAGTGGGGGGGGGGGCGGTGTGGGGTATTGAGCACAATTTGTTATGGTCCTCGAAAATTTGAAAAATCGCACCCCCCCCCCCCCCCTCTTGAGCGCCAGTGGGGGGGGGGCATCTCCAAAAAAAAAAGAGTAAAGTTAACGTGATGAATTTCAATAAAACAAACTATTTATAAAGCAACGTTTCTTGACTGAAATCAACCGATTAGCTATTCCCATTGGGAAATTATATATCACAACTACATATTTTGATATTTTTATGGTCGCAGCTACCATTGTATGGCTGTAGGCGCTATTTGAAATTTATCATCTTAGAGGTGCTCCTTTTACTTTGACAATTGCCCCTTTTCCTTTGTAAGAAGTGCCCCTTTCCCTTTTAATAACTACCTCTTTTTAACTCGGATAAGCGCACCTTATATTTTCACATATGCCTCCTTTCCTTTCTAATAAGTGCCCCTTTTCCTTATGAGAAGTGCCCCCATTTAACAAAGAGCCCTTCGCCTTTTCATAAATGCCCCTTTTCACCTATGAAAATAGTCCTTTTTCATTCTCCTACTAGTGCCCCTTTTCATGTCTGGTAAATTACCCTATTCAATTCTGAGAGATACTCGTTTTATTTTGACAAGTGCCCCCTTTTCCTCCTCATAAGTGCTCTTTTCATCTCTAATAACACCCCCTCTTATTTTGACACGTGCCCCTTTTCCTTCCTTAATAAATGCTCCTTTTCCTTCATAATATCCGCTTTTCATAAAAGCCCCCTTTCACCTCCAATAAATGACCCTATCAAAATCTGATCGGTGCTCCTTTTCTTTCAACAAATGCACATTTCCCTTTATTATTAGTGCCCCTTTTTTCATTCTCATAAGTGCCTCTTTCATATATGGTGTGTGCCCCTTTTCACCTCTGATAATTAACCTTTTTAACAATGATACGTTCCCCTTTTTCATAAATGCCCCTATCAAAATCTGATGGTTGCCTCTTTTCCGTCGACAAATGCCCAATTTCCATTCTCATAAGTGCCTTTTCATCCCTGGTGAGTGCCCCATTTTCACCTCTGATAATAACCCTTTGTACTTTGACACGTGCTCATTTTATTTTCTAGTAAGTGTCTTATCCCTTCGATAAGTGTCCCCTTTTCCTCTCATCATTAAACGTACCCCTAATTTCAAGCGACTAAGAGCAATATCTCCCAAAGCTCGCTCGCTACGCTCGCTCACATTTATAGATGTTATAATTTTTACTTATCAAAGGTCTTTTCAGTTTGCTGTTGTGAGAATGTACTTATTTATAACCCGATGAGGATTGGTTTTTTCCTCTTTATAAGATGTAGTTTTCGCACTGCGACCTCACAAATCTTATATTTTTCCTCGCTCGCTCGCAAATGATTTTTGTCGACCATCACACCCAACCGCAAGGTATGATGTTTAAGCAACATTTTATACGATGTATAAAGAGAAACAAATATTGAAATCATCCCTGATAATGTAATCACATTAAAGGGGTACATACCAATGTCTAAAAATGGTATATTTCGCTTTGAGATTTCCCTTTGTAGGTGCCCTTTTTCCCCAGAAAGTGCCCTTTTTTGTTGGTGCCCCCCCCCCACTTTGGAAGTCGCTCCGCCGCCTCTGCCCCTGGACCCCACCAAGGGCCCTGAGGCGGACGGCTGGATGCTAATCTGACGTTAATTTAATGCTTAAAACCCCTGAGCTTCTGGGTTCTCGGCCCCTTGGACGTGAGATGACCTGCCAGTGTCACAAATAAGGTATCAAAATATGTTCATCTGACCGTAATTAAATGCCTAAAACCACTAAGTTTCCGGGGCTCCACCCAGGGGCGTCGTCAAAGGGGGGGGGGTGTGGGGTTGCGACACCCCTCCACCTGTCAGGATATTGTCGGTAAAATTGCGCTGCCGTCGGGAAAAAAAGAGAAAAGGGGGAGGGGGAAAAAGAGAGAGAAAGGGAAAGAAAAGAAAAAAAGAAAAGGAAAAGAAAAGAAAGAAAGAAAAAGAAAGGAAAGAAGGGAAAGGAAAAGAAAAGAAAGAAAAGAGAAGAAAGAAAGAGAAAAAAGAAAAAGAGGAAGGAGAGGAAAGAAAGGAAAAGAAAGAAAAGAAAGAAAAGGAAAAAAAGAAAAAAAAGAGAAAAGGGAAACAAAAGAAACGGGGGGTGAAAGAGAGGAGAGAGAGGGGAGGTAAGAGCCTGAGATAGGAGGAGTGGGAGTAAAAGAGAGAGGGGGGTTGTTTGGTGGAGTCATCTCGTCGAGGGAGCAAGAAAGACACGGCTAAATATATTGCTGTGTCGGGTCAGCTGTGTCGGTATTCTTGCTCGATCGTGTACTATATCAATGCAGAAGTTTGAAGTCGGTGAGATGTATATTTGTCGGTCGACCGACAAGTTTTTTTCCCTACGAACTGTGACTTTTTATCCGCTGTGACGACTTCGAGAGTGACTACAACTACAATAGTTGTATTTTTTCGAAGTTTCACTTTCCTGTAATATCAGCTAAAGAATTCAGAGGTTTAACATTTTCGGCGAAACTAACTCAAACAAGGATTAAAAGTCAACAACGGTACGACGAATCGTCTTCCCTTCTCTATATTTTGATGAAACATAAAAAATTCCGCGCTTCGCGCGGGAGGGGAAAACTTCATTTAGAAGAGTCGCGAACGATACAACGAATCGTCTGCTTTCTGTCATAATTTAAGAAAAACGTCAAAGCTTCCGCGCTTTGCGCGAGTGGGGGAAACTGAATTCAGATAAATGAGGCTTATTAAGAGTCGAAAATGGTACAACGAATCGTCTGCTTTTTCTAATAGTTTAAGGAAACGTCAAAACTTCCGCGCTTCGCTCGAGAGGGGAAACTGAATTCAGATAGATAGGGCTTAATAAGAGTCGAAACGGTGCAACGAATCGTCTTTTTTCTATAAGAATTAAATGAAACATCTCAGTTTTCACGCTTCGCGTGGGAGGGGGGAACTGAATTCAGACAAGGATTAAGAGTCGAGAACAGTACACCCAATCGTCTGCTTTATCTAATAATTTAAGGAAACTTCAAAGCTTTCGGGCTTTGCGCGAGAGGGGGAAACTGAATTCAGACAATTAGGGTTTATTAAGAGTTAAAACGGTACAACGAATCGTCTTTTTCTCTAACAATTTAATGAAATGTCAAAGCTTCCGCGCTTCGCGCGGGAGAGGGTGAAACTGAATTCAGACAAGGATTAAGAGTCGTGCAAGGTTAAACGAATCGTCTACTTTCTCTAATAATCTAATGAAACGCCAAAACTTAACTGAATTCAGATAAGGATTAAGAGTCGAGAACAGTACACCCAATCGTCTGCTTTTTCTCATAATTTAATGAAACGTCAAAGCTTCCGCGCTTTGCGCGAGAGGGGGAGAAACTGAATTCAGACAAGGATTAACAGTCGAGAACAGTACACCCAATCTTCTACTTTGTCTCATGATTTAATGAAACGTCAAAGCTTCGGCGCTTTGCGCGAGAGGGGGAGAAACTGAATTCAGACAAAGATTAACAGTCGAGAACGGTACAATAAATCGTCTTCTTTTTATAAAAATGTAATGAAACGCCGAAGCTTTCGCGCTTCGCGCGGGAGGGGGGGGGGGAAATTCATTCAGACAAGGATTGACAGTCTAGA